CTTAAGACGTCTATCAAAAGACATCTTTTAGACGTCTTTTTTAGATCTTCAGACGTTCAGGCATAATACAGACATACAAAAGACATCTTCAAGACGTTGTGTGCTATCTGGGCATTTAATTAAATACTTTAAATAATTTTAATTTAAATACTTATACATGTAATTATTAAAATGAATTATTTATATTAGGTATTGGATTAATTTTTGCACTTAATTTAATATTATAATTTGAAAATTTTGTTTTGTTTTTGTTATTATTGCAGTTGTCATTTAATTCATATAGGGACCTATTAAGTAATGTCAATGTATTTGTGCTGTTTGCTACTTATTTTAAAATGAATATTCAAAACATTAATAATGTTTATGAGCTTACATCTAAGTCAGATGGAGGGTTAATAACTGCATTACATCAGGCTGGACTTGTAAAAGCCCAGTTACGCTGTAAGGTGAGGAACTGTAGAATTTGCATTTTAAGACCCAGAGCTGGAGTATATGTCCTGGACCACGCCTTTTTCTGTATAAGATGCAAAAAGGATTACCTACAGTGTCCTCACGGGTAATCCACATTATGTGGTATTGGGCTTGCGAGGTCAGGACTGGCCCTGTCGCCCAAATTATGGGTACTCGTCGTGGGCGGATTGCTCAAACCTATCGGTTGTCCGAGTCACACTATCAGAATCGACCAATAAGAACGAGTTATCACGCGTCTGGGAGTTTTTGTTTGACCAAGCCTTGGCGGCTTCGCTTCGCTCGGCATTTATTAAATTTAATTACGTTTTCAAAGAGCCTAGGCGGGCTTGGTCAGTGCCTGAGCCCAATTTCGCGCGAGCAAAATTGGGCTCTGGCACTGATCAAGCCCGCTTCGATCGGCATTTATTTAATTTGATTACGATTGCAAGGGCCTAGGCGGGCTTGGTCATGACCAACCCCGCCTAGGCCCTGCAGTGCTTGGCACTGACCAAGCTCGCCTCGCATCTCCCGGCATTTCTCCTGGTAAACGTAACTAAATTAAATAAATGCCGAGCGAAACGAGTAGGGCTTGGTCAGTGCCTGAGCCCAATTTCGCGCGCGCAAAATTTTTCTCAGGCACTGACCAAGCCCTACTCGTTTCGCTCGGCATTTATAATAAATGATTTATTAAATTTAATTATGTTTACAAATAGCCTATGCGGGCTTGGTCAGTGCCTGAGCCCAATTTTGCGCGCGCGAAATTGGGCGCAGGCACTGACCAAGCCCGCCTCGCTTCGCTCGGCATTTATTAAATTTAATTACGTTTACAAAGAGCCTAGGCGGGCTTGGTCAGTGCCTGAGCCCAATTTTGCGCGCGCGAAATTGGGCTCAGGCACTGACCAAGCCCGCCTCGATCCGCTCGGCATTTATTTAATTTAATTACGTTTACCAAGCCCGCCTCGCATCGATTGGCATTTATTGAATTTAATTACGTTTACAAAGAGCCTAGGCGGGCTTGGTCAGTGCCTGAGCCCAATTTTGCGCGCGCGAAATTGGGCTCAGGCACTGACCAAGCCCGCCTCGCTTCGCTCGGCATTTATTTAATTTAATTACGTTTACAAAGAGCCTAGGCGGGCGCAAAATTGGGCTCAGGCACTGACCAAGCCCGCCTCGCTTCGCTCGGCATATATTTAATTTAATTACGTTTACAAAGAACCTAGGCCGGCTTGCTCAGTTCCTTAGCGCAATTATGCGCGCGCCAAATCGGAATCAGGCACTAAACAAGTCCGCCTCGCTTCGCTCGGCATTTATTTAATATGATTACGTGTGCAGGTACTTTGTAAATACTGTTTGACTTTACAAGTTGCCTAGGCGCATTTCATATGAGTTTTTGATATTTAATTGATTTTATTTTTAATAACAAATATCTTAGTAACAACAATTCACATGAAAAACTTTATTTGGCTTTTTGGTGTATCCTTACAAGCTCTTCATATAAGACCTTAAAAAAAATTTAACATTTTTTAATTTTGCAAAATCTACAATAGTATTTTTTTGCGCACCCTGTATAACAAAATAGGAGTTTCTCATCAAGAAGAAATTATGAAGAGTGACTTTTCCTCTAAAAATTGAAAATAAATTTTATAATAATAGACACACTGTATATAAATATATATATATTATATATAAGTCATTTAGAATTAAAACGGCCATTTCAATCACGCAGACGCCACAAATCACAAAACTTTTATAAAAAAAATTGAAGGTAATTTATTAATTTATTTATATTATTTTGGCATCAAAATTGTAAAAAAAAATGTTTTTTATAAGGCTATAGTATAGCCGCTATACATTAAATAAAATAAATGCAAGAAATATTTTATAAAACGAGATAATTTTTTTACATGGAACAAAAAATATTTCATGTATTAAAGTTCTTTAAAAAATAAAAGGTATAAAATGTATGTATGTATGTAATTAAGAATAATTTCATGTAATCTTGGTTGCATAATAAATTTCCCCAAACAGCGTAAAAATTTGACATCTGGCAACATTGCGATGAATTTCTTTGAATCTGACATTTCTTGACAGTTCTTGTCAAAAAATCTGTCAAAAAAAGCATTTTCAAACTTAATTTTCTCAAAAACTAGTGAAAAACCCGCAATTTTTATTTATGAAATTTACTATTTAAAACGTCCTTTTACAAATGGTCAAAATTTTTTTTGGAAATTCAGAGTGTGCTATAGTGTTCTGGACCCATAATGTGTAATGTAATATTTATAAAACCAAATTCGTTACTTTTTTAATCTAAAAATGTCCATAAGGCGATGTACTTTTTCTTCCATTTTGGCATTTGGCATAATTTCATCAAAATGAAGTTTTGCCCTCAAAAGGGCTTTTACATTCGAATTCGTTATTAATATTTTTGGCATAATTATCTTTTTATTTATAATTGACAAGTAAATTATTAATAATAAATATTATTGTCAATTTGACAGTGTCAAAGTATTTAATTATATTATTTAGCAGAAGTACCATTTTTAAATACTAAAAATACTAAGTCAAACTGGCATAAGCCACCAACCTAACAAAAAAACACGAGTCCAGATTTAAAGAAATGAACTATAGACCCCTAATGTATCGGGTCCATAAAGGTAAATATATTTTAACCATAAGAAAATATAAATGTCTCATTATTTCTTATAAAGAATTTGTCAAAAAATGTCCTTTACCTTTTCTGGACCATTTTAAATGTAACGATCCTTTTATTAAAGTAAAGACATTAATAATTATCGCTTTTATACTATTATGTTACATATTTTTTTAATATTTGGGTTTTAACATTTTAACAGAAAGAAAATTATTGCGCTTGGATTTTGAATCCTGAAATATTTTTTAAATAATCCAAATTGGAATTAGTTTGGATTGTTATTATTATTAAATATCGAAAGAGGCGATTATTTTAGCTATTTTTAAGCACAAATTCCATGTGCATAAGAAGAAATGGAGAAAAATAAGTGAACAATTTTAAAACCAAATCAAAGCTGTGACCACGCAGGGTGGCAGACAGCTTTATTTGTGTCATATCATATGCCCCAAATTGAAAAAATGCTTTCGAAATAAAAACAAAAAAAATCATATCTTGAATATCAATCAATAAAAATGTACTGTGATTTTTGAGTTTGTTCGGACTAAATGTAGCAGAAAAATATAAAGGCACTAAATCTACATTTTTTTTATTTATTTTTTAACTAGTACATGTATTTTTCATGTTTAAAGAGTGACCATTTAATGTAAATAAAACAAAAACTTTTGAGAAATAATTATTTATTGCATTTTTATATACATGAATAATCTTAAATTAAGTATAAACATTAACAAAGGTTACATATTTAAATAAAAGTATAAAACCTAAATAAATGTTTAAAAATAGGGTATTGTGATGTCCAAAAGTTTTATCAGTAGTTGTTAAATAAACGACTACAAATTATTATAATATTAATAGGTATCCTTTTCAAGTAAAACTTTCGTTTTCCTTCTGTTGATATTTTACTAAATTTGTTTGGATGTAATATTAGGATAATTTATATTCGTGGCAGATATCAAACTAAACAAACATAATTACACGAAATTTGTAATAAAATATGTAATACTCTATCGCAAAAAATCACATTATATTTGATATGAGCAGTTTAAATTGTAAAAAAGGCAGTAAAAATTTAAGAAATATTTAAATGTATTAAAAAAGTATCCTAAACTAATTTTGATGTTTTTTAAAATGTTCTTAAAATTATATTCCCTATATTGAATCTAGGGACTTAAGTTAATTTATCTTAATATTACATTTGACTTTTAATGTATTTATATAATATAATAACTAAACACATCTATCAAACCGAACTATACATACTAGGGTGATGACTTTTTTATTTCCTGTATCACGCATGGATGAACTTTTACATATTAATGGCAAAAACAACGTTTCTTCCACTGAATCGTTAAAAAAGGTTACGCACAAAGCACTTCTACACATCTAATAAACCGAACTATACATACTGGGGTGATGACTTTTTTATTTCCTGTATCACGCATGGATGAACTTTTACATATTAATGACAAAAACGACGTTTATTCCACTGAATCCTTAAAAAAGGTTACGCAAAAACCACTTTGAAATTTTTCAATATTTCTGATTAACTTTAAATTAAAATTAAATTTTTATTTTCTCTATTCTAATTATTAAGTGTTTCAATATTTGTTATTAACATTAAATTAAATTTGAGTGTTTTTAAAACTAAAGTTTAATTAATTTTTTAGGTAAAAAGTTGACTTAAAATAATTTAATTTAATTGGGTATACATATATAACTAAAGTTTTAACTAATTAAGGGGATTTTCATATTAAACATTATTGTTTTATTAAAACAGGCACATATCTAAAATTTAGGCATACTATATAATATAAATACCGAAATATTCTTAAACCTATATTCGACTGCTACTTGCTCAATACGATTTAGTTCAGATTAAACTTAAGATTAACTAGACAATATGCCATTCAAGAAGAGCTTTTCTAACACGAAGGACAAGAAATCCTGGACAAACAAACTAGTCCAGTTTCAAGCACCTTTAGGAAGAGACAAGGTGGCAATTTATAAAGCACCCTTGAGTGCGAGTCGCATGCCTTTAAAAAATCACGTCATGGGACGCTTAAAACTGCTAAAGAACGGAGAGAGAGAATTGATGTAATTGCTATGGAGCTGAAAGCCCTATGGAGCAGAACATTGAACTTCCCGCATATATTTGATCAAACTATTTGTGCAAAACTAGCAAACCTTCTGAAAGACTATGAGCGATGCTGAACGGAATAAAACTTTGATTCATTGAACGAACTGTTTGACGTGACTAAGGTGAAAGTCGAATGGATGTGCAAAGAGGATGGAAACCTCTACAAACTGCAAATTAAGAGCAAGGGTCAGGCTGGTTATTCCAGTGGCCTACCTGCTAGTGTCAAGACCATCCACCCATGAAAGTGAAGGAAGATAATTGAAGCGACTGTGTCCACACTTACCACCTCAGGGCCACCCGATTGTTCCCAAAGTAACACGGACTCATCCAACAACAGCAAATACATTACTTGGGAGGATGAAAATGAAGCATCAACAAGAACAAGGAAGTATAACCCAACTGGCATTGCAAGACGCCTTGTTACAAGCTCAAAGCTATCGTTCCACGGAGCAGCAAAGGTGTGCCGCCAGCTTTCTGAAGAGAGCATTGAAATCCCAACCCCAAGTCAGTCAGCAATTCACAAGGCTATCTACACGAGAGCTACTCAGGTAAAAAAGCACTTGGTGAGCACGCTTCATCTGAAAAAGTGGAGTCTTCACTTTGACGGTAAACGCATTGAGGCAATAAAGCAAAAGAAATTAAGTTGACTGAGCTCAAATTAAAAGATGGAAAAGCTCAAACAATCGTAGGATGTGTTAGAGGAGTTCAACTTGTGGGGATCAATTATAATGATTGTTGCCGACACAACAAGCGTGAATACCGGCAAGAGGACAGGCGTTGTTGTTCGGCTGCAGGAAATGTGCGAAGAGAAAGAGGTTCTTCGCGTTGTCATGGACGATGAGCTTCATGGGTCGACTAAATTACCAAACAGCAAGTACTTTGTTTGCTTTAGTACTTTGTGCAGGATTTGATGAGCAATTATGATAAATTTAAAGCAGCCTTCAGTAACGGTGAAACTGATATTAAGGAAACAGAAGGCTGGAGAGACGACATGTTTCTCTACAACCTCACTCGTGTCTTCCGTCACTTCACTGAGAGGAATAAGTTTCCCTTGGTAAAGTTTCAACAGATCAAACATCGCCCGCTGAAACTCTCGTGCCATTTTTGCCTTTTTGCGTTTATTTTGATGCCTGAGACCCGGAACAGGCTGCGATAAATCTGTTCAGTGATTTCCTACTCATGGGCTGACCATTGGTTCAGCAGTCAATTGTTCCGCGCTAAAGATTTTGATGAAATATCTACAGCTCTGGATGACTACCTAAAAGGTCTGAAATGCTTAAAAACCCACTGGAAAACAGATGAATCTTCAATCAATATTGCCCGAAGCAACCAGTGCTGTGAGCGTTCGATCAAAGTTATGCAAGACTTTCACGACACCTGCCGCAACTAGGACAACCTCCCACTGAGATTTATTCCCTTCAATAACATAATCTTGAATAATTGACTTCTTTCTGTATTTGATGACCCTATATATTATGTATATATGACTAAGGCTTATGTTTTGCTTAAAGTGGCTTCAAAAAATGGTCAAAAAGCTGATAAACAAAATATTTAAAATCATTTTGTGCGTGAGATTTTTTAATTAAATCACCTTTAAAGTTTATTTTTTTTTATTCTTAAGTAAAAGCTCATTAAATTATACAGTTAACGAGGTTATAAAAAAGTCATTACCCTAATACATACTGGTTAAAAATTTAATTTTATGAAGATTTCTTGAAATAGTGTACATATAATTGATTCATTATTTTCTTAACTTAGCTTATATGTCAACAAATACGGCTTTTTATAAACATGGTCTTAATTTTTTGGAACGGGCGATATTCGTCTTTTTGGAGTTACAGCTATGCTTCTTAAACTTCGAGACCTTTCAAAAAGAGATGGATCTGTGTAAATAGGCTCGCTTGGATCCTCAAAGGGACCTCCTGGGTTCGGACATTTAATTTCATTTTTAACTAAGCTTGGAAAATTTCGAATGGTTCCAAATCCATTAAAAGGTTTATGTGATCCAAATATTGATATTCCTGTGGATAAACCGCTACTTGTGTTAGGATATGAGGATGTAGAAAAATTTGAAGATCTATCTGCTAGTATATTTTTTCGCATAACCAACCAATATTTTCTATAAACCAAGCCGGACAACAATGCTATTGTTAGTAAAATTGCAATTAATGCTAGAACTGCGCTAACTAATCCATGGTATTCGCCACGGGTCAGGCAGACTGTCTCCGGGAGCAATTCTGCTCTTCTAGCTTCTTGCTGCAATTCTTCTCTTGAATCAAATACCTTAAATGAAATTGATAATTTGTAAAAAGTAAACTTAATATATATATTTTTTAATATACCTCTATCATTTCTCTTACAAATTCAGGTGATTCTGCTTCTTTTTCTTCATCTGATTCTTCGGTGATTTTTATTGTTGTTTTGGGAAAAGATACATTGGTCTCATTAATATTTGTTATATTTTCCTTTGAAATATCTAACGTATGATTTGTTGTTAAAATGATTGTTTCATTGACTTCACGTTTTCTTCTTCCAAATGAAGGTTCTGATCGACCCGTTCCAGATTGACAGTACGCCGGTTGGCATCCATCTCTGCAAGTTCTTACAGTAGCTTCGAACACAAGGAAATTGGATTCGGGAATTTTAAAAGCGTTAAATCTTGCTTCCAAGCTATCACCACTTCGACCCTTATCTAACTCTGGAAATACATAACTATCGACTGGACACCTAAAATTGTGATTAAATTTTACATTAAATAGTAAATTAAAATTTACACATTTTTTCATACCCAAATCGATCTATTAATTGAACAGATCTTCCTGAATAGGGATCCCTAGCAACGACATTTGTAGCAAATATATCCGTAACATAATTATAACCATCTTGGGACTCAAGTCTAAACGTCAAAGGGTCCCCAACTGCTATTGTAGTGGTCGGTCTTCCTTGATACAAGATCATAAGACGAACTTTGGAGCTTAATGAATTTTCTGCTGGAAGGTATTCTATTGGAATCGGACTACCGGATCTTTAACAAATTAATTAATATTAATAATGATATTTTCATAGGGTAATACTCGAAAACTCATATTTAATTGATTAAAAGGAGTGGAGTTTAAAATATGAATATGGACGTGTTGACACTAAGATTTATTTAAATGGCATGTATTATTTTATATATTTAAATTAGTTTATTAAAATTAAAAAACTTTTTATGTGTAAATGGAATACTACTTATTCTAAACAGTTTACACCCTGTACAGAGAGTACATGTTCAATCCCCAGTTTATTTATTATACTAGAATACATTACAAAAAAATATTTATATTTTAAGTAATAGGGTTATACAGCGTCCGGCAGAAAAGTGGGACGGTTTAAAAATCGTTAATTTTTTAACAACAAAAATTTATTGGCAGAATCTTGTTCGACTTTTCATAGCATTTAAGAAAACTAATTGTGGAAAATCACATCTGACATGTGGTGGCCACGAACAGCGATGCACTTCTGGAGGCGTTCATCGAAGTTGGCAAACACTCTTTCCAACATTTGTCGGTCAATTTGGGCGGTTTTCACGCGGATCGCTTCCTAAAATTCTTCCAGTGTTCGGGGCTTGTGTTCGTAAACACGTGCACACAAGACCCCACAAGAAATAGTCGCACATGGATCGAGGAGGCCAGTGAATGTCACCGAACCTGGAAATGACACGACCAGGGAAGGGAGGGCGAATGACGGCCATTGATGCATTAGCTGTGTGGGCTGTTGCTCCATCCTGTTGAAACCACACACGCCGGAGCGGTATTCGTCTTCGTCGTAATTCGGGCAAAAAGAAGTTGTTGATCATTTCGACATATCGCTCCGAGTTGACGGTAACAGCATTCCCATTATCGTTTTCGAAAAAATAAGGGCCGATAACCCAAGTTTTGCCTACGGCGCGCCGTAGGCGTGTTCGACAAGCCTTTCTGCGCAGTCCAGGTCGATCTGCTTAGCGGTATGCTGCTGCTGCCGCGGCGCACCAAGTCATTACTTTCGGACTATGCAGCGGTCTTTCATGTAATGTTCTCGGATTTCCCTCAGCCCAATAACGGAAGTTCTGTTTATTCACCATGCCATTGAGATGAAAATGAGCTTCATTACTTATTAACAAAATGAGGTTCTCATTTTGATCCAAAAGTGCTTTCATCTCACGCGCAGTTAGTCGTTGTGCGTAATCCTGAGGCTACAACTGTTGTACCATGGCCAATTTGTAGGGGTGGAAATGCAGCTCCAGATGCAAAATACGCCATACTGAACGATCACTAATGTCAAGTTCAGCAGCATACCGCTAAGCAGATCGACCTGGACTGCGCAGAAAGGCTTGTGAGTACCAGCCATTCCAAAAACGTCCGCCCTTTCTGCTGTATATAATTATATACATATATATATATATATATATATATATTAGGGTGGGCCGAAAAACATAAATTTTGGAAATTCAATTTAAAACTTTGGAAAAACTTGTCACTTGGCATATTTATGCTTCTGGTAAAAGGAAAAAAAAACAAAAAATTCCTTCTTGCGCCCCAACCCCTTCAAAAAAAAATATATTTTTTTTAAATTTTTTAATTTTGAAACTTGTTGAAAACCTTGCTTATGGTTCTTAAACGTCGTCATTAAAATGTTATTAGGATTAAAAGTGCCCTTCTTGCGCCCCAAAGCTATTAAGCATTTTGCCTTATATGTATACTACGAACAATAAAACTATACATTGTTTTAGTCAATTAAACATAAAAAAACACTATAGTTAAACCATTATATCGTTAAATCAACAATTTTATTTAACAACCTAGCTTTATTACAAGTTAAAATATCTGACATTCATAATTTCATTAACAGATGGCGGCTCCAGTAAAAATTCTGTAATTTTGTAATTATAACGGTTTTTCTTAACCTCTAAACAATAGTAACGTTTCAGGTTGTGATCAACAGTGATTAAGAATTGATTCTCTTATTTATCGTGAAAGCTTATAAACTATTAGTGATAAACTATAACCTATTAGTGATTAACTTATAATATGGCCACAAGGGCTAAAAGTACTTGCCCTTTATTTGGTGCACCAAAGGAGTTTTTGTGTGAATGTGCTTCCAACTTATGAAGACGTTATAAGACAATATAATCTGATCCGACAGGCAAAGACAGAGGAGAAAAAAGGCCCGCAAGTTCCTGTGTCAGTTATTTCCAAGGAAGTTGCAGAAAAGGTAATTCAACTCTGGATAAAAGCTTCGTTGCCTACTATAAGTTACAATGGCGTTATAAAACTGATTACAACTTATTATGATAAATGTAAAAAAATACTAAAACCCTTCAAAGAAAGACAGAATGCCAAAAGTTATAGAAACAAAATAGAAAACTTCAAACATGAGGCTCGAAATTTGTTCGATATTTGCTCTTGTAAGTGTGAGTTTAGGATTTGTAATTGTGAGAAAAATAAAAAGGTTCCTCATATTGAGCCAGATTTCCTAAAGGATCAGAGAACGTTAAGGAATATGAGAATTGGAACCATAGATCCTAAAATAAGCCAACTATTGACAAAAAAACAAGCCAGGCAAGTAAAAGATAAAACTTCGCTTCAACAGCCGTCAACGTCAACAAGCAAGAGGGAAACAAATGTATCCTCTATCCACATTTCATACATTTGCAATGACGAGTCTGAGACAATGGAAAATGTGGTAAAACCGTCCGATCTCCATAATAATCATGCAATTTCTACAGAACCATCTGCTGATAGTGATAGAATGGATAGAAAATATAAGCTTCAAATGAGACTTGATTTCAAATCTTTGCCTTCGGTGTGCGACAGATATGGAGTTTCTGATAGGGCTGCTGCGGCCATTGCTTCAGCCGTTTTAGAGGATGTAGGATTAATTAAGAAAGGCGATACCTCTAAAGTAGTAGATAAAAATAAAGTTAGAAGATCACGCCAGAAAATACGGACCGAACTTCAAGCTAATGACGATTTTCAGAATAAGCCTTTGAAAGGACTTTATTTTGATGGCAGGAAGGATAATACGTTGCGACAAGAAAAAGTAGGAAACAAATATTATAGAAAAACTGTTAAAGAAGAACACCTTTCACTACTCCAAGAGCCCGAATCAGTGTACATCGGACATATTGTTCCCGCCTCAGGGACAGCAATTAATTTGTGTGATGCCATACGCGTTTTTCTGGAAACTAAACAAATTGACCAGAAGGAGCTATTAGTGATCAGGTGCGATGGAACCATAGTTAATACAGGCATGAAAGGAGGTGTGATTCGATTGTTGGAAGAGGCTTTAAAAAGACCCTTTCATTGGTTTGTATGCCAACTGCACAGTAATGAGCTCCCTCTTCGTCATTTGCTGCAAGATTTGGATGGACAAACAACAGGCCCACACTCGCATAAGGGCCTAACAATGCTTTGGAGGGTATAAGACGGTTCGAAATACCAAAACTTAACTTTGAAGCGACAGATTATATTGAAATTATTGACTGGACTACAAGTAACGTTACCGAACCACCACTAACCAAATACATGTCAACTAAAGAATTGATTACAGTTATTACTGAGGGTATAGACATTCCAGATTTCCCATGTCATACCCAAAGTGTTGAACGATGCATAAAAATGGTCACCGAGGCTTCTTCGTCAGTAATTGGAGAAGAAGCTAGGGATGGCTTTATAAGGGCCAAGATTGAGTCTAGGAAACGGATGCCAAAATTTCAATCGAAACAGGATTACGTGACAAGGGATCATTGAACATTAAAAGGTTTAGTGGGTGGGTTGGGTGGAACTCGAAGTGCAGCCACCTCCACGTGGTTCTGGGTTGTTTTTAAAAAATATATAAAAATAAGCTAAGAGCTGCACAGAATAAGTGGTTTAAAAAGTTGAAGCTTAGTGGGGCGCAAAGAAAACTTTTACCTCGTCCATGAAATTATAACGATGACACTTTGGGACTACGAGTAAGGTTTTGACAAAGTTTCCAAAAAAATTAAAAATTAAAAAAAAAATATTTTTTTTAAGGGTTGGGGCGCAAGAAGGAATTTATTGTTTTTTTTTCCTTTTACCAGAAGCATAAATATGCCAAGTGACAAGTATTTCCAAAGTTTCAAATTGAATTTCCAAAATTTATGTTTTTCGGCCCACCCTAATATATATATTAGGGTGGTTCTTAATAAAGTTATTTTCAAATTTCTTTGCTCCCAGGGGCTCAAATGCTTCCAAATTAATAAAAAAAAATTCCCTGAAAATTTGAGCTCTTAATATTAACTCTAAGATAGTGCGCATTCCAATCTAAGTTTCCTATGGAAATAACATAGGAAAAATTATTTTTGTTGTTTATAATTTTATAACTTGGGAACGAACAAATTAAAAATTATAAATTATACATATTTTTATACAGAATTTAACGCTCTACAAAAAAGGTCTTTTATAATTTTTCCATTAGTCTATTTGTTTAAAAGTTATTCAACGTCAAAGTTTAATTTTCATATTATTATTAATATTATCAAGGCTTTTTTATGAGGCGCCGTTTGTGTCAAAATTAAAAGTGCTAAATAAACTTATTTTGTTTTAGGTATAAATAATTAATTATATGCTTTACCAAATAATTTTTTTATAAAATTATTTTTTTATAAAATTTTTTTTTGTAAAAAATTTTATAAAATAATTTTTTTTTAAATATTTTTTTTATAATTTTTTTTTGTAAATAAATAAATAATTTTTTTATAAAATAATTTTTTTTAAAAATATTTTTTATAAAATAATTTTCAATTCGAATAAAAAATTATTTAAAAAAAGACGACGGGCGCCTTTATAAATTAATTTTTACTGCAGCCATCTCTATTTGTTTGTAGACACTCGAGTAAACCCGAGTAAACCCGAACGCCCCTCCCCAGATACAATTTTATGACGGATTGGGCTTTTGTTTGACGCAATTTGGCGAAACGATTGAAAATAATAATTTATTATTTTTATTCATGAATTCATTAATTTTTTTATCTACATTTATTTTGATTTTTAGTTTTTAACAAGAATTCTTTATGTTTAAACGTTTTTTATAAGAAAGCACTTGTTAAAAACTAAAATAAATAAATAAAATAATTCTCTTGAAAACAAATTAAAATAAATAAATCAATTCTCTTAAAACAAAACTAAAAATTAAAAAAAATAATTTTATAAAAAAGAATTATTTTATAAAAAAATAATTTAAAAAAAAAATTATTTTATAAAAAAAAAAATTTATAAAAAAATTATTTTATAAAATTAAAAATTTTTTTTTTTATAATTTTATAAAAAAATTATTTGGTAAAGCATATAATTAATTATTTATAAAACAAAATAAGTTTATTTAGCACTTTTAATTTTGACACAAACGGCGCCTCATAAAAAAGCCTTGATGATATTAATAATAATATGAAAATTAAACTTTGGCGTTGAATAACTTTTAAACCAATATACTAATGGAAAAATTATAAGAGACCTTTTTTGTAGAGCGTTAAATTCTCTATAAAAATATGTATGATTTATAATTCATTCGTTCCCAAGTTATAAAATTATAAACAACAAAAGTAATTTTTCCTATGTTATTTCCATAGGAAACTTAGATTGGAATGCGCACTATCTTAGAGTTTATATTAAGAGCTCAAATTTTCAGGGAATTTTTTTATCAATTTGGAAGTATTTAAGCCCCTGGGAGCAAAGGAATTTGAAAATAACCTTATTAAGGACCACCCTAATATATATATATATATATATATATATATATATATAATTCATGTGTCTAATATCAAACACAGCAAAGTCCAATATTTTTATTAACAAAATCCATTATTAAAATTATTGTGAAAATACAAGATCAGTTAAATGAGTAAAAATATCATACCACATCTTTTTTTTTTGAGGGAACACTTAAATAGCGTATTTTTTAATTTCTAAAAATTAAATATAAATGCTGGGTTTCATAATAGACCCCTAAAGTATTGACACAAAATATATGTGTTAATCTAGGACCTATTTGCTTTTATATTTTTTTAAAAGGTATTCCTAGGGAGATCAATTATTAATAACAACAATGTTTACCCAGCTCCTATAAATCCTGAGGATACCACAGCCTCTCCTGGTCCTCTAAATAAACAAGTAAGGTTAAACCGTTTATCCTTTCCAGTCTGTACATAATCACTAAATTGCACTACAATTATGTTTGTCATGGTATCACCATATCTTTGAGTTCCACATTCTGGGTATCCTTGTGCTCCACTTATACGCAGTACATTTACTGTGCCACCGTTTCCCCGGAAAAAGCATCGATCATAGAAGCCATAGGAATATATTCTTCCATAAAACCCTTCAGGTGTTCTAAGGGTAAATTCCATTCCATCTTCATTACATACTTGACTCACTGAAGTAATACAATAAATATATATTTAATAATTTTTATTTAAATAAAATATTTGACATTAAAAGTTTGTATTAGTTACCATCTAAACAATCTCCATCAGCTCCTTGCCTGCTGGCGGACCGTTCATAAAAGTCATAATTTCCCGTGGTGTCGAAGTATTGAGGATTACTTATTTCCAAATCTCTGGAGTCCTTATCGCTTAATTCGCAGTTATCTTTTTCTCGATCACTTTCGTACCGTGGGGGAGATTCTCTAAAATAAATTTATATGATATTTATAAATACTTAAAAACCAAATTTTGTACCTGTAATTAAATGATCTGCATATAAATTCTCTTATTTCAACACATTCTCTTTGACATTGACTTAATGATGATGTATATATAGATCTTCTTATAAATTCTTTGCGAGCTCTTTGACGACTACCCATTTGCTTAAAATTATCGTTTTCTTCACACCTTGAACTATATGGTCTATTGGGTACTAAACCTCCAAAACTATCATAAATAGGCCCATCTGGGCCAGGTGAAATTGGTCGTCTTTGAGGTGGAATAGGTGGTCTATCATCAACTGGTCTTCCACCAGGACGTCTATCTGGTCTAAAAAACCATCTACTTCCACCGTCGCGCTCATCTCCATAGTAATCATATTTTGTATCTAAACGATCTCCACGCCAATTTTCATATGGATCATCGTAACGGTTTCCATATCTTTCACCAAAACGTGCTCCGTATTTACCTCTATCTCCTTCATATCTGCTACCACTTCCTTCATATCTACCTCCACTCGCTTCATATCTGCTTCCACTTCCTTCATACCCACTTCCACCCCCTTCGTATCTACCACCACTTTCATAATATCTACTTCCACCTCCTTCATATCTACTGTTATATCTATAATCATCATCTCCATAACGACTGCCCACGTCATTAAATCGATTACCATATTTAGTTCTGTCTCGATCGCTGTATCTGGTACCGTGATTTTCTCCATATTTTTCACCATATCTGTCACCATATCGATTTCTGTATCTATCTTCATAGCTATCACCTTGTCTATCTCCATATTTATCACCAGAAGGATATCTTCTATTAGGGTATCTATCTACATACCCTCCCCCTGAAGGTGGATATGGATACTTATCTTTGTCATATCTATTAGGACGTCTCCAATCATCATTTGGATACGGACTACCACCCCTATTCGGATATGAGTTAACAGGGCGCGTAGGATACCTATCACTGGGATATCTATCATCGTAGTCTGGACGTCTATCTGGTCTCCCAGAATAATAATCCCCGCCCGAACTTAATGGATATCTATCACTTGGATATCTTCCACCTGATCCAGTTGGTGGATATTTACTTCCGCTGCTACTACCAAACGGATACCTTCCACCTTCACCACCACTACCAGGTCTAAATCTATCTCCTCCTGGAAATCCGTCACCAGGTCTATAACCACCCTCTGGTCTATCATCGCCTCCAACTAAAAAAAAAATATTTAAACAAAAATTTATAAATCAAATTAAAGACTTACGCATTAGATTTTCATAATAATCATAATCAGCATCGTAAATGATTCTTATTCCATCCTTTTGGCTAAATCGAGTGAGCCTACAGGTTCTAAATCTCTCACTATATTCCGCTGATTTGCATTGAAAACTTGGTTGTCTTAAGCACTCATCTAAACATTCACTTAAAGATCGGCCGGATATTTCGGACTGATGTTCACCTCCCAATCTACTATTTCTATATCTTTGAAAAGCAGTATCAGGTTTCTTGCCAGTAAATAGATGAGATGTAACAGAATTATCTGGATACTCGGATCCTCGGGCTAAAATTCAAAATTAAGTTTTTAACAATCAACAAACTCCTACCGCTCTCTGATTTTAATAAAAATTATAAATATATATTTCTTTTTAATTCTATTTAATTAATATTATTAATAACAGTTTGTGACAAAATTTGATGAAAATTAAATAGTTAGGTTGGGACCAGCAAAAATGAATACAATATTACAAAATAATAAATACGTGTTTCGAGATATTTTTATATTGGCTCTAGTTTTTTTATATTTGTAATTTTAATTAAAAAAATTAATTTAAAAAAAAAGACCTTGAAATGGATTTTTTATACGCTAAAACTTTGTGTTTTTAATTTAATAAAGGTAATATTAAAAACAAATAAATAATAATATAGTCCTAGCTAAAATTTTCGGATTTTTTAAATTTTAAATTTTTTTTAGGTTTTGGTTGATTGAAATTTTTTTATGGTTATTTTTTCAAAATTAAAATATTTTAAGTTAATTTAAATAATATTTCGAAAACTAGAGCCAATATGGAAAAATCTCAAAATACCTACTGTATTCATTTTTTCTGAACCCAGACATTTTTTTGTTGCACAGTGTAATCGACTTAAATATAAAACTTACGACTATCCAAGCAAGCAAAATCATAAAAATGATGAGTGGGAGCACTAGCTGTATTAATTTCATCCTTTTGAGAAATTGAGTCCTCCTCGGATAAAGTACATTGTTTTGTCATCTCATCGTATTCCAACGACCTGCAGAAGTACTTTTCAGCCCTTACACACATAGCCTGACAATCCTCCAATGTAACGTTCGCAAACATATCAACCTCAAAGGGTCCACCTAATTTTTTATTTTCTTCCTTTATAAAAACACCTAGACCATCACATCTTCTTTCCGCTTAAAATTTAAATTTTAAATGTAGTTACTGTGCTTTACACTTTAAATTGTGCAGTTTATATTTCGTGGTTAAATAAATAATTTATAGTTATACCATTTAAACAAGTATTTTCCAAATAATCTGATTCACGATCTTCTATCAAAAGCTCTGGATGAGTTCTTCTTGTAAATCTACTTAATGTACAAGTTCTCATGGCAGCATCAAATGTTGCAGATCTGCAAACAAAACTGAATTCGTTTAAACATTTATCTTCACATTCGGTTCTATTGGAGGCAGTCATTTCTTTAACATCTGGTGCAGGAAGTTTTAACTTTTTCCCTGGATGTCTCTCAAAGATATACTTTCTATTGGGACATTCCCTTTCAGGTTTATTTGCTTAAATAACCATATTAGTACATACTTATTAAATTAAAAAAACATTCTTACATGTTATACAAACTTCACTAAAGTGAACACTATTGGGTACCGATATTAAACTACCGATACCCTCAGGCCCAGCTTGTTCAGATGTTAGATAGCAAGTACTATCTTCGTACTCTGTTCCGCCATTATAAGAGGCTATACGGCTTCCAGGCTGAAAATCAAATGAAGCGCAGGATCTAACAATGTTATTTGACGATCTGTCCCGCAAACACATCTCCTGACATTTTTCCAATACCATAAAAGGAGGTGCAGTATCTTTTACTATATCGTCATCGAATCCTTGAAGTTGTATATTAGGTAGTCTTTCATACATTACTTTTCCATTCATAGACCCAGAACCACAAGATGTTTGGGCTGAAATAAAGTAAATTATATATTATTTAAATAATAAATAGTTATTTGTACATGTGTTATCTCATACTTCATTAACAATCCCCAAATTTATTACATTATTTTAATATTTTTTACTTTTTATAACAAATTATACAAAAATTGATAAAAAAACATACCTTTGGTCATCATCTTCAACACCGTTAGGACTGTTATAGCTTGCACCATACTGGGGACGTAAGGATAACTTTTCATTTTGATTAACATATGTGGAAAGATCTCGTACTATCTGGACATACTTTTCCTTCTGTAGATAAAAGAGAACTAAAATTTAGGTTACAAAAAATATCCACATATATAAATAAAGCAAATTATTGCAGAGGGGAGTGATTAATAAATTACCAATACAATTGGTGCATTGAAAATGTAAATTTCATTCAACAATGATTCTTTTTCCGGATTCCCACGCTGATTTTGTTGGTTTAGATTTAAAAATAAATTGTGTGTATTTCCCATAATAAAATATTTTTTATTTCTTTTTTATAATTACTTAAGGTATCTAATTTTTAACAGTAATTTACCGATAGAAAAGGCGTCGTATCGATAAAACCTCTGTTATTTACGAGAAAGCAATTTTCCGAAAATTTAGACGATGATCTGATGTATCCCCGAGAGCTTTAACTCAAGTTTGCAGTTAATAACAGAGGTAAGAAAAGAAGGCGACGATCCTAAAGTTATATTTTATTGGATAATTTACTGAACGATTTTGTTATGTTTTCAAATTTATATAGGTTGCGATCTTATCGAGATCTTACCTGGTCTTACCTGGTAAGAGTAAGATGCAAATAAGAGTTTTGACGGGTTCAATAAATGTACAAAAAAGTATATACAAAAGTGCTCTTTTAGTTCCACCCTTACTTCTTAAGAAGTCCCATAAGCCAACTGAATGGCTTGTGCGGGTTAGGGGTAGGAACGGAAGGAAATTATTAAATCAAATACATTTACATTTAGAACACACATAATTAGTATATTTAATCACATAACCAATACAATAAATAAATATAAAAAATCCCCAAATGTTATAATAGGCAGTCAAAATTTATAAATTTATTATATAAATTATAATTGAGGCGTTTACTGCAAAAGTTGTCTAACTAAAAAATTATCCTAATAAAGTGTGTTTTAATATAAAGAGTAGTTACTACTCTATATATTAAACTGCAATTTATTAGGCTAGTGCACTCGAAAAGCGCATAATAGGAATGTTTTAAGATAAAAACACAAAAGGTTTTTTTCAGTTAGGCCGATTTTGCAGTATATGCCTCAATTATAATCCTGGCGTTTGCTGGCATAATGTCCTACTCTTAAATACACTCACCGGCAATAAAAAACTTGCCACCAGAAATTGGCAACATTTTAAATGTTGATTTCCTTGCAAACCACTAATCTGATTTTTTTATTTTAAAATGTAGGTTGATTCTTATGTAACGATAGGTAGACATTTTTTTAGCATATAAAGGGTGCAAAAGTAAGAAGTTTTTTTCCTAAAACTTGTGATATCCTGTCGGGTGCATCATCAATAACAGCGTATTATACCCAAGTGTAAAACTGGACCGGACATTTTTTACCAAATTTGACAAAAATTGAAAGCTTATCTTATTAGATTTTCATAAAACTTTCAGGGTGTGAATACCAATGCTTAGGATGAACAAAAACCACAATAATATTTTTTTATTTAAACACCCTGACCGATTTGCATAAAAAATTACCAAATCGGTGTGTAAGAAAACCCTTTATAACTTTGCATTTATAATACAAAACTATGTTAAAGGTAATGTTCACATTGTTTTTCTACATGGAATCTTAAATTAATCTATTAAGGTGATTATCATTTCCTATTGGGTAGCCCTAATAAAATTCAACACAGGCACAATGAATGAAAACTTCTAGTATTTTTTAGTACTGCAGCCATCTCGATTCAAAGATTAATTTTTGTTCTATTATTTCAGGTTTTATATAAAAAAATTTAAACCTTTTATATTTTCATTGCAAAACTCGAACATATCTAAAGGTGATACAATTTGATTCTTAAATGGTCTTTGCAGGCTTGCTTTTGAAACAATCTCTTAGGGACGGTTTTTTAATTAGGGTTTAAACCTTAGTTCAGGGGAACTTAGATCAGTTAATGAACTCAGTTCACAGCCAAATGAGTTTTTCAATGTGGACTCAACAGCAGTTCTGTTGAACTTAGATCAGCGGTGTCAACGTTAAGTTGGTACAACCGAATTTAGTATACGCCTACATTAATAGTAGTTAAAACTTTCATTTTGACAAAAGGATTTTGTGTTTACTTTTGGAGTTTTGTTTATCTGTGCTGTTTTAAAAAGTTATAATCTGTGCGAAAGGTTGCTTTAAAACAATTTAGTATTGTTAAAGAACAATAATTATTATTTATTAAGGATTAAAATCGTGCTGCCAACTTTACCTCTTTTAAGGAGAAATCATTTGTATGTATTTCGTTTTATAGTATAAAATAAATTTGTCGTTTTTTGTTACATGTGATCAATTTTACTAATTATTTTTATAACTAACCTATTTGCAATAACTGGTCTAATTAAATCCACTATCCTACGTACAAAAGGTTTGGAAAACCGAAATCTGGCAAAAAATTCATCATTATTCCACCTTTCAAAATGATTCGGTCTTACCCGTGGCCTGTGCACACGAAGTTGAATATTATTTAGGAATTCGCCAATTTCCTCATCATCCTCACTAACTACCTCAAACATATCCATTGGTTTATTATAACAGCAGATCACAAAACAAGAAATAAACAACGTAATACAGAAAAAAGCAGAGAAAAATTAAGTTATGTCAAGTTGAACTTCGTTTAAACGGCCAACAGTGACGGTTCATCTTTTGATTTAGTTTAAACCAAATTCAAGCTTGAACTTTGATTGAAAAACGGCATATTTTGTTTGAACCAAGTTCAAATGCTGAACCAAGTTTAAACTATGATTGTAAAGTAAAACTTTTTAGGCCGAAAGTGCACGTTACTACTGCGCGTAGATGCAACCATCTGAAAACTACTGCGCATAGGTACGGTCATCTAGTAACTACTGTGCATAGGTACGATCATCCAGTAACCACTGCGCATAGATCCAACCATCTGGTACCTACTGCGCATAGATATCTGCCATTTTGAATCCGCAATTGCAAATTGATATAAAATTCATAATCAGCTACCCCAAAAATATCTTTTTACAAAATTTCATCCAAATCGTTAAAGCTGAACGACAAATGACAGCTATATTAGATCAGCCATTTTGTTTTTAGAAAAATGGATACCAAATTCCTAATGAGTCACCTCAAAAACCACATACATATTGCCCACCTCCTACTTTAAGTTGCCCACAATCCACAAAACCAACCATTAGCTCTTAACTGTATTAGTGTACACTAACACAGACGTCTGTGCAAATAAGATTGTTTAACCAGTTAATAAACCACATTATTAATTGTATTCATTGATTTTATTAATGTCAATGATTTAGGCAAAACCGGGCAAACACATGTGTATTATAAACTTTTATTATACATAAAAACTTGAACTATCTTCCCTAGTTACACTTATTTTAAATAAATTTGGCAACACAGCTGTACCTTATTGTTGACTTTTAGCCAACCCGATTGCGGGATTGCAAGTATAGGATTTCCGCGATTGCGGGATTGCAGATAGAGATTTCGGTTATTGCGGGATTGCAGGTAGGGATTTCGGCGATTGCGAAGTGACTGCGGGATTGCAGCGACGATTGCAAGTGATTTCGGACCAAATGTACACGTATTGCGGAAGGTGGTTTCCCCCTCGGTAATTTGTTATAAACAGATGCTCCCTTAAACAGTATAGAGTTTTTACCGAATTCTGAAAATACTCGAAAAAAAGGTATAAAATGTATGTATGTATGTAATTAGGAATAATTTCATGTAATCTGGGTTGCATAATAAATTTCCCCAAACAGCGTAAAAATTTTACATCTGGCAACATTGCGATGAATTTCTTTGAATCTGACATTTCTTGACAGTTCTTGTCAAAAAATCTGTCAAAAAAAGCATTTTCAAACTTAATTTTCTCAAAAACTAGTGAAAAACCCGCAATTTTTATTTATGGTAATTTTTTTTTGGAAATTCAGAGTGTGCTATAGTGTTCTGGACCCTAGGTTTTTTTATGTGATTGTAAAAGTTAAGA